GAAGTCGGATGCCCAACCGACTGAGCCACCCAGGCGCCCCGAAAACTTCTTTTTAAAGCTGAATGAAATGAACCACACAAGCCTCTCTCTCCTTGAAAAGTACTCTTCAAACGAAAAAAATTCCCATTCTAACATATCATTTTGGTTTTTTCATCACAAAAACAATTTCTAACTATCTGGATGTTCGGTTTTGAGAGAGCCTTAGATGAGATTTTGCTAATGTTCATTTTTCAAGATGAAACTTTGTAAGTCATGAAAAAGTGTATTATTAGGGATTTTTAGTCCTGTCAGAGAAAGTATAGTGAGGAAGCATGGTGGAGCTAGAAGCCTACTGGATTGGAACAGAAGTTCTGGAAACGTGATGCCTGTTGAGCCTATGCGCCTCTGAGGCCTTCATTTTCTCACTGGTAAAATAAGCAGACAGGACTAAGCACAAGAGGAATTTCTTGGATTCTTTCTCACTGGAAAATTCTATGTTCCTATGTTAGAATAAATTATATACTATGTCGACACCTTGAGAGCAGGGGTCAGCAAACTATGGCCCATAAGCCAAATTTGGTCCATGGCCTGTTTTTGTATGGCTCTCAAGCTGAGAATAGCTTATACATTTTTAAAGGTTGTAAAAACAAAGAAACAAACACACCAAATACAAAAACAAATACGTGACATAGACCACATGTCACCTACAACTCCTAAAATATTAATTAGCTGATCCTTTACAGGAAGACTTCGCTGACCTCTCTCCCTTAGAGGATGGACATTAATGAGAAGCCCTCCTCCACGAAGGCAAAAAAAAGGTCTAGCCAACTGAAGTACACTCAGGAGAGCACTGGGAAAGAATGAACTGCACTTCCTGTGCTAACGGGGAATTGGGGCGTCAGCTAGAGGTAACCAATAGCTGAGGCAGAGATCTGGCTTTCTAATGTCACACAATAGGACTGGTAGGAGGTTCAGGCCAAAGCTGCTGCATACAGGCATGTAGGTTGTATACTGAACAACTGTGGGAGATAACAGCCTAATTGTTATCATTGTGAACGGTACCCCGTAGGGCACTAGGGTATGTAACTCGCACAGCTGTATACAGCACTTCTGGCTCAGGCCACCCGTGGTATTTCACAGCTGAACTTCACACACGGTAATTTGAAATGACTTTGGCAAAGTTTTCATTATTCCTTGCTTTGAAGAACTCTCATGAATGTGCCCCCATCAAGTTCATGTGACACAGTTCATCAGAGCTCTTATACCTGCTTGGTGGCCCCAGGTGTTTGGTCGCTCTGGCCTTGGCCTTGGCCCTGGCCACTGGAGCAGTAGTGATCATCTGAGATGGTGATCTGCTCATTCTCCTCAGCTTCCAGCTGACTCTGGTTGAAACGCAGGGAACCTTTTAGAATGTCTTTGATCTATTTTTCAAAAAAGAAGAAAATAAATGAAAAAGGTGAATGGGTTTGTTTTGAAATGCTAGCTAAACCTCTAATACCTTTAAACTAGACTTATCATGGGCCATTTTTTAATAGGATGATGAATATATTACCACAAGAAAGGAATAACAGGAAAAAATCCAACTCTATCAAAGCCATGGACTTATTAATGACCAAGGAAAATTTCAGAGTCTTAATGGCCAGGCTCTCATGGGGTCAGACATGGGTGTCACATCCTGGGCAGTTATCTTAGAGCAGGAAGTGCCATTTGCCTACACACTCAGCCCCACTGAACGGCCCTTAGCTACTCAAGTGGCTGCACCCCAGCTGAACTGTTAATAACACAGGCAGACGGCTCTGAGAGCAGCACGCTCTTTTCATTAACGCGTATGTTCCACTCAGCCCTCCAAGGGTTGGGTGAGTGTGGTCCTTGTGGGTCTGAGGCCTGCCGTGGGTGGCTTGCGCTCCGAGGACAGCATGTGTTTACGGGTAAACAACTGAACATGCTGCCGGACCAGGCAACACCAGCTCTGGGTGAGGAACCAACTGAATGGCTTTGGTATGAGGAAGAAGCAAGGGTGAGAATGGAAAAGTAGCTTGGGCTACAAGCCAGTCAGACATAATCACTCGTAGGAGCACGAGGTGTAAAAAGGTGGCGGTTCAGGATGGGCTCTGTCTGGGAGGAAATGAGGGGCTGGGGGGATGTTGGCTTTAATATGTGCATGGTCCACCCTCCACAGGATGCCCTCCCCAACAAGCACTGAAAGATGGTCAGCGGGACACAAAGTCAGATCAATGGACATACCTGTTTTAATCCTGCCAGAGAAACCAGAATTTGATCTTCTTTTTCCAAATTTTCTTGTAATATCACATCTTGAATATTTACTGAAAATAGAAGAATGCCATTTTATAACTAATGCCCTGAGTATAACTTATCTGCTGCCACATCATTACTTGCTTGGAAATGTTTCTGTCCAATCTCGTAGTAAGTATTTCCACCAAGGACACTCTGCCAAAGTGCAGATGAGGCAGGTGTGGGGGAGAGCAGAGGGGAGCACCGAGCCCGGTGAGCACAGCCTTCCCACCGACGAGACACAAATGTGTTCTTATGATGACAAATGTGTCTTCACTTCTGCAGAGAGACCAGGGCACCTCCTGCTAACCTACAATGTGAACAGTCTATAGAGCATTCATCCAGCCTCTGGGAGGAAGCGTTTCATTCTGAGCTTCCTACACTGACTCATGGTTCCATCGGGTTAACTCACCTCTGTCTCTGAAGACCAGGTCCTCCCAGGTGACTGAAGTCAGTAAAGACACCGTCTTTAAAGATTTAAACAGTAAAGCATGTTGTAAACTCAACAAAATGGTGAGAATAAAAGAACAAACTCACGGCACCACAGGTTGCCATCGGACATCACTGCCTATGGAGTTTGCCTGACTTCACCCGGGGTCTTCACAGGAGCTACTTCTCTATGTCCTCTAGGAGGCTCACCCTCCATGTGAGAAGTCCTTCACCCAGGCCCGATCGGGGGGGATCCAGCAAGTCAGCCGTGACCGCCAGGCTCAGCATCACACTGAGCTGCACGGTCAACATGCAGCGGGCCTCGGCGCTCCCCCACGACACGCCTAAGGGACGCACACGGCCCTGTTGCTGGTGGGCCTGAGCCGGGGTTCTCAGGAGAGAACAGGGGAGGAGGAAGGGCCCTCCCACACTTTCCCCCCCACCGGGGCTAGGCAGGAGAATGTGTGGGGTGAAGGGCAACTAAAACACACTTTAAAGAGGATACCAACATGCACACCAGTCGGAGAATCATGACAATAAGTAGGCTTACCCTCCACTAACATCTACTTGCTTATTTTGTGGCCTTAAATCACACCTACTTATACGCACGGGCCTTATAAGGCCCATGCTTAGTCACTCACTCAGTAGAGCGGTCTCAGTCTCGACTCGAGACTCCTCAGTTGTATGCCTGGCCCCCTACGGCCACCAGAGCTGTGTATCACTCCCTGCTGGCCCGCCCCTGCCCCACTGCTAGCGGAGGCAGGGCTGGCACACTGCTCTCTTGGCCCTGGGGGGCTGGGCCCACATCCGTGCAGACCAGCTCTTCCTCACTGTTCAACTCGGGTCCCATGATGCCTCTTCAGAGCAGCCTTCCTGCCCATCCAAACTAAGGGAGCCCGGGTCACAGAGCCTCTGGCCGCTGCCACATCATCTCTTTTTCTGTACTTTCACGAAGCACCTGTCACCATCTGGCATTCTCACATGCATTTGCTGGCGTGTCTATTGTCCACCTCCCCCAACGGAATACAAGCCCCAAGACTGTCTTGTTCAGGGCTATCCTCTCGGCCCTTGGCATGAGACCTACCTTTCAGGTACAGTGTAAGTCCTGACTGACTGACTGAACAAACGTGGGAAAACACTCTTGGAACTTGCATTTCAAAACACTGCTATGCTAAATATTTCCAAAAATATTTGCAGTTAAGGGAAAAGGCAATGACTGATACCGTCAACATGGGCCCAGCCTGACAGTTTGTTAGAATCTTCAATAGGAATAACTCTCTAACCCATGCTGACAAGTCCTCTCACACACCGCAGCAAAAAAACAGCAGCTTTTATTTATGCAGAAAACGTGACTGTAGTTTCTGGCTCATATAAAGGCCTGCTTCAAAACAAGAAAGCAAGATGAATGGGAATGGAATAATAGATATAATTAGAGAGTGAATGTTTCTGGTTTCCTTAAAAGCCTGTAACAATTTGTTCTCTCTCAACAGAAAAACAACGCAGAATCCACTCAACAAGACATCAACGACAACCAACGGCAGGAAGCTGACAAGAAGCAGTTACGTAGGTCTGTCAGGGGGTTGAATATGGTCACTTCTGTTCTTACGAATGCCATGGTTTTCAGGCAGAGGTCTGAGGGTCTGCGGGTTGCACGTAGCACCTGGGTAGTTTGGTGGGGCGGTAAGCTCTGCACACTGAGCCACAGTGTGGGGCAGATGTCCCAGCTCCTGCTGTGTAAGCAGGGGCAGCAGGGGAGTAACTCCGGGGCCCTGGGAGGAAGCTCAGCCAATGGATGCAGGGACATCTGGACATCTGGAAGAAGCACGGGAGGCTTCTTGGAGAGGAGGCCACTGGAGGCCGGATCAGGGGACCATGAAAAGAGGAAACGTGCAGAAAGCAAATGTGATGTATCCTGCTGCCCCAGCTCGATCTTCAGCTCCTGCCTGCCCCTTTGACGGTCTTCTGTGGAACATATCCTGAATCAAAAGGTTTGGCCAAGGTGCCCGGCTCCTGCCTCCAGTGTAATGTGGGGCCCATGGTCAGCGGCAACACAGCCGAAGGCCTTTAGGGTCACAGGCTACAGGCTAGCAGGGCAATCGGTCAATGGCTCCAGTGGGGACAGAGGCCGGTAGCTATGCAGGAACCGATATCTCCTTAGAGGCGAGCAAAGACGCAGAGGGCACCCAGAGATCCTTCCTCAAAGACCAAAGAGACACGTGAGCCATCCTAGAGCCCTGACATCATCCTGGCAGGGAGAAGAGACAAAGCGGAGACACTCTAACTGGGGGCATCTGTTCAGCTGAGATGGCTAACTTGTAAGAGACAAAGTTGCCTTTAAGTGGCAGACTTAAGCCTTGGACTCTGCCACTGGTGGGAATGGACCTCCAGAGTGAGGTTTCTGTACCGAGTTTAAATATATGATCTATCACCCCAGTACAGAAGTAGCGGTATCTACCTGACATCTTACAAAATCATACTGGCCATATTGCCTGAAAATCTCAGGAAGCAAGTGCTCCCAATGTGCCCTCCTGGACGCCACAAACCCATACATCTGAGTGGTGGTGGTGTTCGCAGTGGGCAGGCTGAAGAGGGGAGTGGCGGTGAAGGTGGAAGAGGAGAGGCCCCTTGTTTTTCATTGCAGGTCTAAGTGACAATGATGCCCCATGATCTAAAGGCCACTTTATCCCATGTGCTCTTGCTTGCTTAAAAGCATGAACAGCCAACAAGCCTAGGTGCCCCCTACGGTACCATCTCCTGGGTCTAGAGGTGGCAGAGCTGTGTGTGGGCCACCCCCCAGCCCCACCCTCTACTCCTTCCTCACCAAGATCCTCACCAGATCACACTCAGGGCAGCACCCTGTGCCCCTTCCCTCACAGCCGAGGTGGGTCATGTGACACAGCTTTGGCCAATGAGGTGTAAGTCCCCAGATGGAGCTTCTGGGAATCTCCTCATTGGGTCTGACTCAGTCTGTGGCTTTTGGGCCTCTACTCTTCCCACTTTCCCTGCTGAAATGCTGGCAGGAGCTCCACAAGTCAGCTTGCAAGGAGTGTGGGTGATGAACCAGAGGAAGTCTGGGGCCCTGGGCACATCACGGAGTTGCTACACCTGCTTGGACTGCCCACCTCTGGGCTTCTTTTAGTTATGAAAAAAATAGTAATAACCTCCTGATGTGTTTATTCTACTGCTTTTGGGATTATGTTATTAGCAGCTCTATTAGTCTCAAGGTACTACAAACTGGGTGGTTTAAAACAACAGAGATTTGGGGCGCCTGGGTGGCTTAGTCGGTTGAGCATCCGACTTCGGCTCAGGTCATGATCTCACGGTCTGTGGGTTCGAACCCCGCTTCAGGCTCTCTGCTGAAACTCAGAGCCTGGAGCCTGCTTCGGATTCTGTGTCTCCCTCTCTCTCTGCCCCTCCCCCACTCTCTGTCTCTCAAAAATAAATAAATGTAAAAAAAATTTTTTTAAACAACAGAAATTTATTCTCAGTTCTGAAAGCTGTATAGTCTGGGGTCAAGGTGTCGGCAGGGCCGTGTCCCCTGGAAGTTCTAGGGAAGCACTCTTCTTTGCCTCTGGAGGTTGTTGACAATCCTTGGCATCCCTTGGCTTTGTCTCCATCATTACATGGCATTCTCTCTCTATGTTTGTGTTCAAAATTCCCTCTTTTAATAAGGACACCAGTCACTGGATTAATCAAGTCTTACCTCATGTCAATGTAATTATATCTTGTAAAGACCCTATTTACCAAAAGGTCACATTCACAAGTTCCAGATGGACATGGAATGGGGAGGAAACACTATTCGACCTGGTATGGCAGCTAAACTCTTCCCTGTTACACAGAATATAAGCCGTCCAGTTCCTTTACTGAAAGGGGGCTGAGACAGCCCCACCAATCCTCTCCTGCACGCAGAGTACAACTTCAAGTTCCAGGCTGGCTCTGGCCTGCTGTGCAGTGAGGCGAGCCAAGGGCACTCCCAGGGTGGGAGAAGAGCCCAGAGCCTTACTATCTTCAGCAGCATACCCTTTCCCAGAAACTTTTCAGCCTTATTTTTTTGGACAGGATCAAAGATCACCTTTTAGAATCTGATGAAAACCAAAACCTTCTGCCCTGAAAACCCACACATGTATATAATGTTCATTTAATTTTAAGGATTAACCTCTGCTATAAAACCTCACTATAATTTAATTTTTTCATTTAATTTTCATGATAAGCCTCTGCTGTAAAACCTCACTAGTCTCACTTTAAGGAATCCAGGGCACAGAAATCCAAATTAAAACAAAGGGCACCTCTGGAGACTTAAAATTTTTGAATGCAGGAATTTTGACTTTACTAACAACAAAGTACTGGCCATGTCAATCCTTTGCCGCATTAGTTCTACCATACATTGATTTAAGGTAGCATTTATGAGCATTCTATTAATATACAACTTCTCAGTAACAAATCTGCTTTCAGTTGCATCTACATGCAAAAATGGAAAAACATAATGATGTTTTCCTCATGCTTTAAAATAGTAAAATAGTAACGCACATTTTTCCTTATAGCAAGAGGCAGAATAAGTGATGAGATAAAGTCTCTTTCTTTTTGTTTCTGTGTAGAAGGAAGT